GAACCTGGCGTACCGCGGCCCGGTCGGAACCCGATTTGCGCTAATTTGCAGTCAGATCTCCCCTTCCAGCAGGTTCAAATGGAACTGCGACTGCCAACATAGTAGAGCCATTGCAATGAAGGGAAGAATACTATGCCTTGAAGGGGTTGCGTATACCCCATGCAAAATATACCCGTTGAGAATTGTAACCATGGATGGTTCCCACGGCTCTTCAAGAATTTACTTCTGCTTCCAAGATACGTTGCAAATACACAAGCGAAGATCTAACCCGCCGTCGCTCGACGAAACGAGTTGCTATAAATTTGGGGGGGTGCGCAATCGTGGCCTGCATGTTCCAGGGCTCGCGAGCCTTCTTGTTGCCCGACGCACCACGTGAAGATATGCTGATACTCGATGATCGCCATTCTGCTGTACATTCGGCAGTGTATGTGGGCCTCCGTGCACTTCCCACTGCACGTTTCCAAAGCTCCCCGCAAGTCTCTCGGCTTGCGTCAAAGCCCACCACACATGACACCGTAGACGCCTGTGCTATGACGACGGTGTGTTCCGCAGGGGTCCGACCGCTTGCCAACTGCAATTTTCGATTGCATTGTTCAGCCAGCGTTGCTCGCCGACACGCGCTGCCAAACAAGCATGTGCGTTGAGATGCTTAGTGTTGCCATCACAGCCTCTTGCAGTATTTCTCTGTCCCAGTGCCAAAACCGACAAGCGACTTGCTGTCTCAAATGGACCACGCCCACGGAGACACCGACGGCGAGCCCGGTTCAAAATGGACAGGGACTGCTGCCAGCTGCCAGCTTTCGTCACCACTCTTCCCGTGCCCATCCCGATCCTCCAGATCCTCCTCCTCCCCCTGTTCCCCTCACTCGGGTGCGCGCCGAAGGGGGAAGTGAGCGAAGGCAAGCCTTCTTAGAAGGCGGCGGCGCTCCCAAGAAGCCCACTGGCCTTCTGAAAAGCATCTGCGGCTTGGCAGAGGGCTCAGAAAGCTGCCCAGAAAGCCGGGGGCCTTCTGAGTCTTCTCCTTCTGCTTTCCCCCCTGGGCGCGCAGCCCAACCCCCACACATCCTCGCCGCGCGGCATCTCTTTCCCCCGCCGCTCCTCGACCGTCCTTGGCCCAGGGGACCGCGCGTGCGCGCGTCCGCGCGCGCGCGCGACAGGGCATTGGTGGCGCTGCTCCCCCCCCCAAAGCTCCCCTCCTCGTTCCCTTGTGCTCCCGCGACCTGCAGCGATCAGGGAAGGTGCACCGCCAATCATCGTGCAGACACGAGGAGGGCCAAGTCAACGAATGCAGGGGCTTGTCTGTCCACGGCGAGCCGCGGACAAGCTCAGGGCTCCCCGGCCCGAATCTGGGAAGCGGCCCAAAAGCCAGAGCCCCACCTCCTGAACCCGAAATGGTTCCCATTTCAGCCTGCGGCCTCCTCGGCAGCCCTGCGTTGTCTTGCATTGTCTTCTCGGCATCAGTGCAACAGCGTCGACGGGAGACAAAGCATCTCTATATCGGAGGTGAGGGGGTGAGATCGAAGTGGAACGGAGAGCCCCCCTACCGGGAAATCGGTTTCGGTTTCGTGTTCGTGCGTGCCGTGCGGGCGAGGCGAAGCTTCGTGGGCGGGCGAGAAAAAGTCTCCTGTGGCTGAGGCGCGGCCGGACCAAATGACTCCCTGCCGGGCGGCCGGGGGCCCGCGGTGTCCCGCCGGTGTCCCGCTGGTGTCCCGTGTGGCTGAGGCGCGGCCGGACCAAATGACTCCCTTCCGGGCGGCCGGTGGCCCGCGGTGTCCCGCCCCCGCGGTGTCCCGCGGTGTCCCGCGGTGTCCCGCGGTGTCCCGCGGTGTCCCGCCGGTGTCCCGCGGTGTCCCGCGAGGATGATGATGATGAGATGATGATGATGATGATGATGATGATGATGATGATGATGATGATGATGTTGATGATGATGAGATGATGATGATGATGATGATGATGATGATGATGATGATGATGTCCCGATGAAGATGATGATGTTGATGATGGTGTCAATGGTGATGATAGTGTCCCGATGATGAGGATGATGATGCTCATGATGATTATGTTGATGATGAAGACGATGATGGTGTCCCGATGATGATGATGATGATAATGACGATGTTGATGATGATGATGATGATGATGATGATTCCGATGATGTTGGTGATGATGATGTTGATGGAAATGGTGTCCCGGCGATAATGATGTTGATGATGATGTTTGATGATTATGGTGTCCCGATGATGATGCTGATGATGATGATGATGATGGTGATGCTGATGGTGTCCCGATGGTGATAATACTGATAATGACGATGTTGATGATGATGTTGCTCATGAAGATGATGGTGCCCCAATGATGATGATGATGTTGTTGATGATGATGATGATGTCGATGATTATGATGCGATGATCATGGTGATGGTGGTGTCCCGAGGATGATGACGATGTTGATGATAATGTTGATGATGAGAAGGATGGTGATCATGATGGTGTCCCGATTATGATGATCATTCTGATGATGCTGCTGATGATGATGACGATGACTGTGTCCCGATGAGAATGATGATGATGTTGATGATGAGATGATGATGGTGATGATGATGATGATGTTGTCCCGATGATGATGCTGACGTTGATGATGATGTGTATGATGATGATGGTGATGATGATTACGATGATGATGATGACGGTGCCCTCATGATGATGACGATGTTGGTGATGATGTTGATGTTGATGATGTTGATGATGATGATGATGATGATGATGATGATGATGACGTTGCTTGTGAGAGCGATTGTGATATCGATAGTGAGATCGATATTGAGACCGAATGTGAGATCGTTTGTGTGATCGATTGTGAGATCGATTGTGAGCTGAATTGTGAGATCGATCGAATGAGATAGATCGAGTGAGATCGATTGTGAGATCGATCGAGTGAGATCGATCGAGCGAGACCGATAGTGAGATCGATACTGAGATCGATAGTGAGACCGATCGAGTGAGACGTTGGTTCCCCCCCGAACCTCCTTATCACCCGAAGGGTGGTCGTATAGGTATAGTAGCGTTGTTGCTCGAACTCGCTGAGCAAGCAAGGATGCAGCCAAGGTAGCAGAGTCTTGGCCGAGCATAAAATCATCGTCGCCAGAGCGTGTGTGTGTTGCCCATTCCCTGAACCCAAAGTGGTTTCCATTTCAGCCTCCTGCCTGTGCAGGCAGCGCGCTGCAGCGCACCCACCTTCTGCAAAAGAGACCACGAAACCCTTGCGGCAGAATACCATTTGCACGGTGTTCGATGTGGCGCCGATGGGAACCTAATTACGGTGGGGGGGCGCCGACTTCAGGCCTCTGGGCTCCCTCAGTGGGTGTTGTACAAATGAAGCAGAATCTGTTCAGGCGATATGTTCAGGGAACGACAGAAAAGAAAAACAGTATTAACTCTCTGGCGAGCGCGGCGCCATTCACGTGTCCTGGCCAACTACTGCGCCTTCGTCTCTTCCATTGTGCTCCTCCAGCTCCCGCTGCCTGCCCATCGCAGACATTCCTTCCGCTGCCGCTCCTCGTCCTCCTTACCAACCTCCTCTCGTCATCCTCCTACGTACGCTGTTCCTGACCATGTCAATCCTTCTCCATCTCCTTATCGATATGCTCCCCATGATCCGTGGCCGTGTCCTCCTGCCTCCGCCTCCTCCTCTTCTTCCTCGACTCCATCACGCCCATAATCATATACACCCTCCCCACATCCGTCACTCACGTCATCAGCATCAAAACATGTACCACACTCATCCTCAGCATCATCACCACTACCATCAGAATACTTATGAGCATCGGCACTAGCATCAACATTATCATAAGCACCAGCATCAGCATCCTAGGTATCACCACTATCATCATCATCATCATCATCATCATCATCATCATCCTCATCCTCATCCTCATCCTCATCATCTTCATCATCATTATACTCAGCAGCAGCAGCATCATCATCCTCGACAGCAGCATCATCAACACCCTCTTCCTCCCCCTTCTCCTCCTCCAACTCATCAGCATCAGCAGCACCATCGTCATCACCATCATCATCACCATCATTCATCATTCGCATAATATTCTTCTCCATCATCATAATCACCATCACCATCACCATCACCAGCAACCCTATCAGTAGCAACATCAGCATGATCACCATCACCAGCATCCTGATCATCCTCAGCATCGACATCTGCATCTTCATCGTCATCAGCATCAGCATCAGCATCATAAGCATCACCATCACCATCATCATCATCGCCGTCGCCCTCGTCTTCGTCATCGTCATCGTCATAATCATAATCATCAGCATCATCAGCATCATCATCATCAGCATCATCATCAGCATCATCATCATCATCTCGGCGCACCTTTCATGCGTTCCTGACGGTCCCACAAAAGGCTCCAACGAAGGCCCCACTGGCAGTGCTCGCATGGCGTCCTGGGTCCACTTCAGCGCACCCCTCGCATGGTTCGTGGCCTCATACGGAGCTCTGGCGAAGGCCTCAACGGCTGTGGTCACATCCAGCCCCGCCCAAGTCCGGCGCACCCCTCACACGTTCCGACTAGGAGTTCCAGAGATGGTCCCAGTGACTACAGTCACATGTGTTGCCCCATACGGAGCTTCAGCGAAGGACTCAGTGGGTGCGGTCGCACGAGGCCCCGCTTCATTCTGGACAACCAATCACTCGTCCGGTGGCCCCGTCGGAAGCTTCAGCGAAGGCCCCAGTGGCCGCGGCGGCATGCGGCCCACCGAATACTCGTGGATTGAGCGATCCGCTTTGCAGCCCTGGTTTCTGGGACCCTGAGGTCTGCAGCTCTAGGGGGATCCGCATGTCAAAACACTCCAGCGAACCAAAACCTGTGATCACCCCCCCGCCCTCCTTCTCCACCCCCTTCCTTCGCCCCTTCGTCCCCCTAGACGTATTTCTCGTCTCGTTCCCCTCACCACTGGCTCAGAAGGCCAGCGCTAGGCTCACAGGAACGCGATGGGGACGGAACGGATCTCCAAGTTCGTAAGGTCGCCGTAGGAGGAGCCGTTGAACCCAGCAGGCTCCAGATGATTCTTCAAGATCCTGTTGCGCTCCGTGCTTTCGTCCAGCCTCCTCCGCCCCCTCCACCTCCACCTCCTCTTTCTCCTCCTCATCATCCTAATCCTGGTCCTAATCATCATCATCATCATCATCATCATCAGCATACGCATCATCATCATCATCAGCAATATTACCATCATTATCAGCATCATCAGCATCATCAGCATCATTAGCATCAGAATCATCAGCATCATCATTACCATCATCAACATCACCATCATCAACATCATCATCATCATCGTCGTATCACCATCCCCATCAACAGCAACACCGTCATCATCATCATCATCAGCATCATCATCAACATCACCATGATCAGTGTCAACATCAACACCAGCATCATCACCATGAGCTTCACCACCGTGATCATCATCATCGCAGTCATCATCATCATCATCATCATCATCATCATCAGCAGCAGCAGCATCATCATCATCATCAACACCAGCATCATCGTTACCGCCATCATCCGCATTCAAATCATCGTCTGCATGACCAGCATCCACAACACCAATATCACCAGATCATCAAGCATCAACATAATCAAAGTCATCGTCATCACCAGTATGCTCCTCATCATCAGCAACATCATACTCATCATCGCCATCATCTTCTTAATTAACGTCACTAACATCATCACCAGCAGCATCATCAACAGCATTACCATCATTCTAATCAGCAACATCATCAGCATCATCAACATCGTCATAATCATACTTAGCATTGTCATCATCATCACCAGCGTCGTCAACCTCATCAGCCTCAACATCATCATCGTCATCATCATCAACATCAAGCTCACCATCATCATCTGCTTCATCAACATCGTCATCACCAACACCATCATCATCGCCATCCATTGATTTCATAAGCATTATCATCAACCTCGTACTCATCAGCCTCATCATCATCACAATCCTAACCATCATAGCCAAATCAGATTCTGTACCATCATCAACATCATCATCCGCATCACCACCACAACCATCATCAACACCATCATAATCATCAGCGTCAACATTTTCATCATCACCACCATCCGTCATCATTTCTCCTCGTGACCCTCCTCCTGCTCATTCTCCTAGCCACCGCGGGGTCAAGCAATGGCCATGCTGTCCGTACGAGGCAGCGCAGATACTACACAGATCCCTCTACACGTTTCGTGTTTCAGACCATGTCGTTTGCGACCAGACATTGGAAGACATTGTGCGCGACATGTGGGAAGCTAGTGTGGCCGCTTGAACACCTTGGCAGCGGCACCGTGCGATGAACGGGACTTTGCGCCCAGAGCAAGGAGCATGGCGCAGACTTCTCCTCGATCCTCCCCTGCGCTCGGCAGGCCCAGCTGGGCTCCAGGGACCGCCCAAGCTGTACACACGCGCATCGCAGGCAGCCACCACGGCCAGGACCGGGCAGCGCTGCGCCCCCGACGCCGAGCAGCGCCGCCGACCAGGCAGAGCTGCGCCGCAGAGCTGGGCGCACCGCCGGCGGACGCCCGAAGCGCGGTCGCAGCGGCGAGCTGGGCCACGGGATCGCGAGAGTGAGCGCAAGCGGCAGGAGCACCCGGGGCGGGGGCAGGCGGCGGCGGAGGGCTGGGGGCAACGTGGAGCACTTCTTGGTCGGAGGCGTCGCGGTCGTGGCTGCGGCATGGCTGCTATGGAGCGGGTCGTGGCAGCCGAGGCGGCGAGGAAGGGCGAGAGGGACGGGGGCAGAGGGCCGCGGACGGCCGGAGCGCCCTCCGAACGCTCGAGCAGGGACTTCTCCAGCGCGCGCGGGCACATGCAGAGCTGCGAGCCGCGACCAAGTCGCCTCCGCCTCTCGGGGCACTGCGCCCCGAGGGGGGTGCGGGGGGGCCGAAGCCCATGGGGCGCTGGCCGGCAGATCCACTGCGTCCACAATGCAGAGATCCGCGGGGGGCCGAAACTCATGGGCGTTGGCCGGCAGATCCGCTGCGCCCCACAGCGAGGGGGGCTGCGACCCGGTTGGGAAGGGCCGCGGGGAGCGGAGACCATGTTGCCGCAGATGCGTACTGGGAGAAAACGATAGAAAACAAAAACCTGGGGCGGACGATGAAACACATAATTTCGCCGGCCTGGTTGCCTCGACAATAAGGGATGGGGGGGGCAGGCCGATGGCAGGCGGACAATCCTGGGCTGTCTGGGGGGCCGGGGTGGGCCCACGAGGCCGCAAAAAATGTCCGATCCATACTCTCCAACCATACCCTGCAGCAGATGCGTACGTTGAGACGCTTTGCTGTAATACACCTGGGGGCGCATTGCTCGGTCAGCCCTGGGACCCCGCAGAGCGCCTCCAGAACTCCGCGACATGTCCGGATCCCTCGAGGAATGACAAATATCCGTGGGATTCCTGCTGGTCGACATTCTGTTTGGTTTCGTGTGCCTCTGGTGCACTTTGCGCCTAACTCCGCGCGCCACGCGACGTTCGATCGTCCTCGCGACGCCGCCTGGGAGAAGGGCAATCGCCGACCGTTGCCCGAATGCAGCAAATGGCGATCAACACCACATGTTTCAATGTGTGCGTTGCGAGTCGCCGAGGTTGCTCGCAAGAAGCCCCAAGACAGCCTCCAGAGGCTCCAATATTGCCCTCAGACTGCAACATGATTAGCCAAGCTGGCTCCCAGGCGGCCCCTGCAGGCTCCAAGAGCGTTCAAGACCGCCCAAGATTGCCCAGCAACGCCGCAGGATGGCCCAAAGAAGCCACCAAAAACGTCCCAATAACCCCACAGGGTCTTGAACCCCCCCTCGCCGAATAATGGGAACTTGCTTATTTTGTGCGCGGGCTTATTGACGGATTGGGACCCCAATAATATTTGGAAAACGATTATTCCCACGCGACGCCCATCGCTGATGATCGAGAGAGAGATGAGAATCCCTGATGTTGATAATCATAACGATAAGGGGAAGAGGAGGAAGGGAAAGACGAGTTGGATCGCCAGCCGAAAGCCTCTTTTTAGGGTGGTCGCCGGCAGCCTTGAAGACCCTCTGAGGTTATTGTTTCCAGAGGCCCTGAGGTTGCCTCAAAATGGCCCGAAGGTGGCCCCAAGAGGCTCCCAAGAACGCCCAAAACCTCCTAACTAAGCCTCAAGGTCTCTCCGACACCCCCACAAGACGCTACAATATGGCTCCCAGAAGCCCCAAGACGGCCCGAACACCCCCAATTGTGACGCATGAGGCCTCACTAGCAGCCACAGATGCCCCCGAGTGCCCCCCAAACCGCGTGTCCAGATGGGAGTTACTGTGGCCCGCGCTGGCTTCTGAATTTTGAAATTGTGTGTCAAGGCTTCTTCGTTTTGCGCGAACCTCTCGACAAGCCTCACATCGCTTGCTCCCCGCCGAGAGATGAGCGACCACACACGATCACACGTGTGGAGGCGTGTTGTTTGTAGACAGCTTATCAATAGTAATAGCCTTAATAATAATAGTAAGTTTAGTCGTACTAGTAATAGTAGTGGTAGAAGCAGCAGCAATAGTAGTAGTGGTAGTCGTGGTAATCGTAGTAGTAGGAGCGGTGGTTGTAATACTCATAGTAGTACTAGTAGTAATCGTTGTACAAATACTACGAGCAATGGTAGTAGGAGTAGTAGTGGTGGTACTAGTAGTAGTAGTAGTAGTAGTAGTAGTAGTAGTAGTGGTAGTAGTAGTAGTAGCAGTAGCAGTAGTAGTAATAGTAGTAGTAGTAGTAGTAGTAGTAGTAGTAGTACTAGTAGTAGTAGTAGTAGTAGTAGTAGTAGTAATACTACTAGTAGTGTCCAGACAAGTCGTAGTAAAGTCATAGTCGTAGTAGTAGCAGTAGTAGTAGTAATACAAATAATAGTAGTAGCAATAGAGATACTGCCTAGTAGCACTCGTGTAATAGTCACCGTCGTAGTTGTAGCATTAGTAGAAGACGCCGTCGTCGTCGTAGTGGTGTTAGCAGGAGTAGGAATCGTTGTAAACGTAGTAGTAGTAGTAGTAGTAGTAGTAGTAGTAGTAGTAGTAGTAGTTGTAGTTGTAGTTGAAGTAGTAGTAGTAGTAGTAGTAGTGATAGTAGTGGTAATAGTATTTGTAATAATCGTAACAGTGTAGTAGTAGTAGTAGTAGTAGTAGTAGTAGTCGTAGTAGTAGTAGTAGTGGTAGTAGTAGTAGTAGTAGTAGTAGTAGTAGTAGTAGTACTAGTAGTAGTACTAGTAGTAGTAGTGGTAGTAGTAGTAGTACTACTAAAAATGCTCGTAGAGGTAGGAGCAATAGCAATGGTGGTAGTAGAAATAAATAAAAGTAATAGTAGTCGTAATCGTAATAGTAGTCGTGGTAGTAGTAGTAGTAGTAGGAGTAATAGTAGTAGTAGTAATAGTAGTAGTCGTAGTCGTAGTCGTAGTAGTAGTCGTAGTAGTAGTAGTCGTAGTCGAAGTAGCAGTAGTAATAGTAATAGTAATAGTGGTGATAACAGTAGTAGTAGTAGTAGTAATAGCAGTAGAAGTAGCGATCGTAGTCGTACTAGTAGTGCTAGTAGCATTAGTAGTGGCGTACTAGCACTGCTCGTAGCATTAGTAGTGGCAGTAGTAATAGTTGTAATATCAGCAGTACTGGTAATACCGGCAGCACTAGTCGTAGAAGTAGCAGTAGCAGTAATCGCACTAATAGTAGTCGTTAGCAGTCGTCGTCGCAAGAGTAGTAGTAGTAGTAGCAGCAGTAGTAGTAGTAGTAGTAGTAGTAGTAGTAGTAGTAGTAGCAATACTAACAGTAGTAGTGGTAATTGCAACGGCTGGGGATGTGGCAATGGCAATGGCAGTCACGCGAGTCGTAATGATTGTAATGTATGGTGGTAGAAGGTAGTAGTAACAGTCGTAGTAGGAGTAGTAGGTAGTACGGAATAATCCCAGTAGTTGTGGGTAACATCGGAAGATGTAGAAGAAGAAAAACAACAAATTCAATCGAAGTCGCCAACCTAAACAGAATGAGGGGGCTGAACGGTCATTCCCAGTC